AGAAAAGACAACGCAGAAAGAATCGCGTCTTGTCGATATCACCTGGAGAGTCTTTCTGCTGTACGTTCTGCAACCGGACTTGTCTATCTCGCATTGGCCTTTTTAGCCATCAGCGTGCTTGTAGCAAGCGTGGGTAGAGCCCCTCTCAAATCTTCGTTCGCGAAGCCTAGCCATGATGATGATGATGATAGTCTGTCACACTCTAGAATAGTAGTTAAACACTCACCAAACCCTATCCCCCATTTCATATCGAATTTTCTAAATTCTTTAAGCTTGTTTAGGCTCCCTTTCAAGACAGGCCTTCATTCTGTTAAAGAACATTTGCATCCCAAGCCTGAACAACAAGATACCATCATAGTCAAAGCAATCTTCAAACCCGGACCCTTGGAGAAGCTCCAAAGACAGTACGTGCTGTGAAGAAGAGGAAGATGAGGAAAAAAGGGATCTTAGGACCTCTGACTCAATTTCCAGGGAGGCGTGCCTGGGGTCAGATCTGGAGGCGGGTGGTTCTCGGATCGGACCATAAATTGTGGAACCCCTGGACATGGGCCGTGTGCACCATTTGTACTCCTTGTGCCAGAAAGCCTTCATTAAAGACCTGCTCTATATCTTATCTCTATATTAAATTTACCTGGAGTTTTCTTTTGCTTTTGATCTTAAGGCAACAACTCTTTCAATTCTCTCCCTAATCCTGCTGGTGGAGGAGTGAGCAAGTCACTGTGTACTGCTTAGTTGCTGGCTGGGGTTAAACCACTACAGATGGAAAGTAGGTTTCCCATGGATTTATGAACTAATTACCAAGTGGCACTCTGTGACCTACTGTGAGACAGTGATTTGGGGACTGGTTAAAATAATACCCTTGAGGAAACAACAGCACAGATGACTAACCTGAGGCTACACAGCAACAGCAGGGGTTATTTCAACCTTAAGGCTGCAGTAGCAGGCAGGTAGTCTCTGTTGCAATGCTACTCTGTGTCTAGGAAGCAAAATTCCTTCTACATTAGTGCTAGGACTTTTTTCCTCACAGATTGGGTTGTAACAGCCAGTTTCATACCTAAAAGGTGTCTTTATGGCTTCACAGTTCAGTTGATATATATGTAATGTGAAGACTAGATTATTCATTTAAGCTTGTTTACAGGAAAAAAATGAACACATTCCAGTAGAATGATAAAAATAAGACAACAAATAGCACATCAGGAAATTACATTTAGTAGTTGATTTTAAACAAAGTTAGGTTTTCTTATTTTTAATGTGAAGAAATTGTGATGACAAGGAATACAGTGGCATACTGTTTTATTTATCTTAAATATGTTGAAGGAGAGGGAAAATCCTAGGTTGTTAAATTCAGCATGACAATTCATTATTAGATTACTGATTACAGATTTAAATTTAGGCCAAGATGTAAAACTTCAGCTGGCTCATGGGATTGGCTATGAGTTTTACTTTAAAATATAGATATAGGTTTCTTTAAAATCTCGAGATAGCATCAAGAGAATAAGCCACGGGCTTGTTCCCAAGGAATGTCTTTATTAATTTATTAATTTAGGGGAGCAAACAAGGGGACTTGGCCAAAGTTCAAAAGGACACCACATAAGCTAGACAAAAATGTTCCACCACAATAGACTCAGCATATACTATTAATCCATGACACTTAAGATCCAGTAAATCCACAACACTTAAAGCAAAATCCAACCAATTCCACAACACTCAAATCAAAATCCAATCCCTCCAGCACCAAACCACCCCAAGCATCAAGAAAGGAGCAAAGAAAGAGAAGCAGAGGGATCAAGAAGGAAGAAGGAGAAATAGGTTGAGATAGCTACCACCAAAGCCTTGTAGAGGACCAGCTCTCACAAGTTCAAGTGGCAGGGACTGCCATGAAGGATACAATGCCACCCCACCTCCATGAGGTTTGACCCATCCCTTCCCCCTACACACACACACACACACACATTCACCATAAGTTGGTTCTGACCCAATAATAACTGATCTGGTGTCTAATACAAGGAGACAGAGATCTGCTTTGCTCTCTACTTGTCCACACATCCATTTCAGACTTTGGTATATGCTTCAGACTGGAGCAACTATAGTAGACTGATGTCTTATACAACTGCAGAGGAAAAACAGAACTTGTACCCCCATAAAAAAGATTCTCTTAAAAAACAAGATGTTTCTGCTATTTGAATAGCAATAACAGTTCCAGCTGGGTTGGCAATGGACCCACCACAGGCCAAAGCTGAGCCCATCAGCAAAGTTGGTGGTGCCTGTATGAAAATATATTTAAGAAAGGGCAGAAAACACTGCACAGGCAGAGGAGAAGAGAAAAAGAGAGTGAGAAACAACAGTGCAAACACTAAGGCCAGAGAAGGAGGAAAAAGAAAGAGAAGATACTCCAGGCACCAGAGCAGACATTCCCCTGCAACCCGTGGAAGAGACCATGACAGATCAACTATTCAAGAGGTCACACACTGGAGCAGGGCAAAAGTGTGAGAAGGAAACAGTGGCAGAAAGGGACTGTTATGTTGTTGTGGGTTAACCCTGGTAGACGAATATAAGCACCACACAGTTGCTTGCTCACTCCTCCCCCACAGTGGGACGGGGGAAAAGGAAAGGAAGAATAAAACCAAGAAAACTTGGAGGTCAAGATAAAACAGGCAAATAATAAGTGAATCATAAGTGGAAGAAGAGGGAAGAAAATAAAGAAGTGATACAAAAGCAATCATGCACCTGTGGGTAGATCGATACCCAACCAGTTCCTGAGAAAAAGATGGATAACCCCCTAAAGTCCATTCTCTTCCCTTTTATTGTTGAACATGACATTATATAATATCTCTTTGGTTAGTTCAGGTCATCTGCCCAGTTGTGTTCCCTCCCAGCCTATTGTGCAACCCCTTCTCCCCCAAGCTATTCACTGGGAGGACAGTGATGTTGGAGTTTAGAGATGTAAAGAGGACTGATAGTATTTGTAACAGAATTTACCATAGAAACTCCATATAGTTGAACCAAGTAATTTAAAGGGACTAACCAAATGGAATGTACCATAGAAATTACATATAGATGAGACAAATGATTTAAAATTACTAACCAAGTAAAATAAAGAAACAATGAGGAGGGGAACTGAGGCAACCAGCCAAGCAATACCTAGTTACTGTATAACCAAGTGAACCCCTGGTGGTCTAGCGGGTAAAGGCGCTGCACTGTCACTGCAGAGACCCGGGTTCGATTCCCGGTCGGGGCCACTCCCCGGGCAGATGGAACTCGTTAGCCCTGTAAGGCAATCCATCTACGTCCCGGCAGATGAACCTCAGGATTAAAGGGTGGGCTCAGTTCCGCGCACACTGTGTCTCACCTAAAAAATCCAATGCGCAGGCTGGAAGGTGGAAAGACCTTCCCCGGTTCTTCGTTCGCGAAGACTGGCCATAACCAAGTGAATTGTCTTGAACAAGTTCATAAGGCAGTCATTCAGAACTATAGGGTCTTCAGACAGAGAAGTCCACCAAAGTCCCCTGAAGAAGCCCCTCCAAAACCTTATAAGGATATGTATATATGCTAATAGGTGTTGGGAAATGTAATGAATATGTAACAGGAATGCCGGGAACTGAAAATAAATAATCATGTAATGTTGACATAAAAACTGTAGTGGAGATACCTCGGTGTGCATTTTGGCAAAATGATGACCAATGCACCCAGCAACCAAATAAAGAATGCCTTGACTTCTAAAACTCACAAACAAATATTAGAGATTTCTTTCAAGTGCCGCTTTTAGACAACAACAGTGTGAAAAACAGAGAAAGTTTTGATGCTGTGCAAACACTGTTCAGCAATACCTAAAATATTAGTGTGCTATTGGTACTGTTTTGGTAAAAAATCCAAAACACAGCACCACAGGAGCTGCTTTGAAAAACAATAACTCTATCCTAGCCAGACCTAGTACATATATACTGACTGTAACTCCCATCCACTCTGCGATGCTTTGGGACAGGTAGAGGAGTCATGATTAAAGGAGTGAATCTAAGCCTGGAAAATGGGGGATTGGGTTTTATTGAATTTTTAGGTCTTATTTTTGTTTCTCATTACACAAACTTCTTTCGTCCCCTGCTTGCTGAGCAGGGAGGTGTGAGCAGGTGGGTATTTGGCTGTTAGCCAAGGTCAATCCATCACACACCAACTAGTGAGATTTCTTTCTGACAACACAAAAATCTAACAGAACTTTTCATTATAAAGAAGTTATTTTCTTTTTCTTTTCAGGTACCATGATCAGCAAGATGTTACAAGCAACTTCCTTGGAGCAATGTGGTTGATTTCAATAACATTTCTATCCATTGGATATGGTGACATGGTACCTAATACATACTGTGGGAAAGGGGTCTGTTTACTCACTGGAATCATGGTGAGTATTTCAGAATTTATTTACCTGATATGAGATTAGGTTTGTTGAAATTAATGCCCAAACTCATGGTAGTCATAACAGAAATATTTATTTGATAACTTTTAAAGTATATAGGCTTACTTGTACCATTCCATAGTATCTCATTCCATGGTAATGGAATGTAAGGCTTTCATCCTCTGTAGGTAGAATGAAGAGCTGCGTAATAAAATACAGAGAAACAATTCCACCCTGATGCCATTCTCAGCTTCAAAATCTCAATAGAGTCTTTCATTAAATGTTAGTATATCACATCTTCTTGACTGTCGTTCGACATGTAATTGGACCACTTCTAATAACAAACCTACAGCTCTGATATTTGCTTCTTAATGAAGTTACTTGCAGGTGTAGAATTGTGATGGTCGCTAGTCTCCTAAAGTGTTTACCTTGTGCATAGTTTCCTCCATTGTTTCTTATGTCTAATAATATATGGTCCGTAGTTTTCAATTGCTTTAAGTGGATTTATGCAGTGCATTTTTCATTATAAGAGTTTTCTGTTACTATTGATTGCATTGTTAGACCACACATATTCAGTACTTCATATCTAATTTCAATTTTTTGGTGTTGTAGTATTTTATCCAAGTTAGGGAGTAGGGCAATACATTGTAATGGAAATTTCTGCATATTTACAATAAATTAGAAGCAAAAAAAAAAAAATCATGATCCTGCCACTTTTATTTGTATCAAGCTTCCATGTAAATTTCCCTGAGGGAGAAGCTCAGGATGGACATCATATATAGTATATATGACAGTAAGATCCACTGATCATAAAAGTAATGCAGCTTTAATATCTACCTTCTATTAAAAGAGGTATATTGGGATTATGGCTGAAAACAAATGGAGGCAAGAAGTTTCTCTTTTTGAGTAGGCGTTTTAGTAAATCTGTTGCTTATAAAAGTATGTATTTTATGTTCAGAGAGTAAAACATTTTTGTAATGTTGAAAAATTTTTTTTCCAAATGCTTCTTTTTTATTTTTTAACATCTGACAGGTTTCAGGTCATTGACCATTATTGAGACAGCATTCCAGTAAATTTTGGTAGTGCCAAATGCAAAAATCTTTAAATGCACAGTTTGCAATCTGGTGAAAATACAGGTGGAAAGCACAGGGATTACTCAGAAGGCTTTTCTAAAGGCTGTTGACTAAAGTCATATCTGCTGTCTTCTAGGGTATTTGTCTTTGTTCTTCATTCTGAGATGGATTTTGATGCCAGATAAAAAGTGACCATAAGTTCATTAGGAAAATAAGAGAACATGCAGCATATATTGACTGACACAGGGATGTGCAGAACCCTGTTATAATGCTTTCCTTCTTTCCAAACATTGTTCAGAAATAAGAAACAAATGCTTTGAAATGCAGATATTAGATCATTATCCTTCCTCATTATCATCTCTGACTACATCCTTAACAACAGATCTCTTGACAACAGCTAAATTCTAGGTTAATTTGCCTTGAATATTTATTCAAAACAAATTGTTCATCATTCTTGGCATTTTCAGTATGAAAAAAATTACTGTAACAGAAATCTTAGAATTTCCAAGCCCTGCAGAAGTGCAATGAAAATGTTAATATTGATACTAATAATCCATGAGTTTCACACTGCTATTGGACTTATATTGATGCAAATGACAGCAACATCTCAACTGGTCTTAAAATTTTAATGGTTGTGGGTTGGCTGTACGATTTTATTATGATGAAAACAAGGTAAAAATAAAATATCAGAAGCAGTCTCCAGATTACTGCAAGTTTTTTCTATGCACTCATGAATGAACCACACAGAAGGTGAAATTCTGATTATGTTTCATTTTGCTTATGACAACACCATTTGAAATCAGGTGTAAAATTATTTACAGCATCTGTTTCCATTGCTTTAGTGAAAAGCTACAGTAGGGGTTAGTATATACTGATTACACACATGGCATTTCTTTTTCACAACTGAAACAAGATCCCTTTGAAAATTTGTTTTTTAAAAGCACAGATGATATTCACCTTCATGTCTTTGATTGTTTTTTATGATTAAAAATTCTACAGCTACATTTGAAGTGGTAAGGCTCCAAACACTTGGTAATACTTACATAGTCAGGATTGCATAAGGAGTTTGGGATAAATACCTCCAGAGACAGAAAACAGTCTTAACAAAAAAAGGAGTCGGGTACCAAGTGTCTGACAGTAGTTAAAACAGTAATGAAAATCTGACCCATAATTAAATTTTAAAGGACATCAGCAATATGGTTTTGGCAAGTTGACATATTTGAGAAGAAAATTATGAAGCAATGTAAAAATTTGGATGTTGAAATTGCGATTTTTTCCTATAAAGGACCTGAAATATATGTGTGAAACAGTGAACATATCAATGAATATACCCTCCTGCCTAAACTCCAGGGCCAAAATTCATAGCTCCTAAATAGGATTCTTTAAAAACAGTTATGCTTCTAAAACTTTTATAGTAACTAATTGTCTCAGTTTAAATGAGACACAGATGTTTCGTTGAGGATGAGTTATGAGGAAGACCCAAACTCCTCCCTATAAGCAATTGGAAATCCGAAATTAAGAGGTTCCAACTGAGGGGAAAAAATTGTGGGAAAAGGAAAAATAACAGCCCTTTATTTAAAGATATATGTGTATTGGCAGAAACAATGAAAGAAAACAAGTAAAACAACCAAACAATACTCCTATACCCACAAATAATCCCCTTCAAAACAAACCAATAAACAAGCAAAGAAAAAACCGTAAACAGTTGTTTGTGCCCTTTGGTGCAATTCTAACCACAGTCAACAGGGGGCCCTTTTGGATCACCGGAGATGCAGAGCTTGTAGTGTCCTGTGCCAGTTACCAGGGGGCACTGTTGGATCACTGGAAATGTAGAACCTGCAGTTCTTTATTATGCTTGTCAGCAGGGGGCAATGTGGAATCACTGGTGGTTGCCACGTGGGGTGACACCCTCCGGGGTATGTTGGAGAAACTGAAGCCGAATTTTTGCCCCCAAAAAAGCACAAAGAGACTGCTTTAGAGACAAAATTTGTTTCTTTAAAGCAGGAGGTATTTTAATGCAACGCCTTGGAGAGTTCCCAGGTTGCCCTGGACAAAGAACTCTGTCTAGTACAATCAGCACAGTTCTTTTATACAGTTTTAGAGTATAGGATTACATCACAAACATGCATATTGATTAAATTGCAACATCTACTTGTAATATTCATATATAGGCGGAGTCTTTAATTTGGGGAGGTTTAGAGGTGGGAGTTCCTGTAATCTTCATCATGGGCAGTGGTCGTTTGTCATCTTCCTCATTTTAAACTTTTGAACTGTCCTGAAATCTTTCCCTAATTTTGATAGTTGGCAAGTGTGATAGGGTCAGGTTGACTTTCTTGGCTCGTCCTAAGATTTCCTGATGTTGTTATCTCTGTTTTATGATTTGAATGTTCCATCTTGTCAACATGTTCTGTTCCTCAGAGAATTTATTATTTCTGTGGTTTCCTGATGTGACGGTTTGGATTTGGTTCTTTGTTAAATGCCTCGAAAGTTAGGACAGCAGCTTTCTTTCCTTCTTTTTTCTTTCTTTAGGTTAAAGGAGAAAGAAACTATAAAAATTAAAGAACCCACAATCAAGCTGCTTATATAAAAATATATCTATATTTACGTAAATTACAGTTATATACAGTTAAGATGCTATATATACAGAAAAAGGGGGTCCACCCCCCGCAGGGATAGGGAAAGGGAAAAAGGGGATAAAAGGGAATAAAAGGGATATCGAACAGGTATACTAGATCAAATTATACTAATAATTAACAAAATAGATTTCACTACGTCTCTTAGAACAGCAGGATCGGCAGTTACAGTCAGTACTTTCCAAACTTCCACGTGGTAGGACAGCGGACTTTGCAGGCCTCAGCCTTAGATAAGTGAGATTAACGCAGGGACCCACTGTTCCCAGACTTCGCCGGAAGAGAAGAGAGCGAGGTTTCTAATTTCCGACTTATTTATACTCTGGTTTACGTAAAAATTGTGTGGAATACTGGGTACTTGGCTCCTTCCTTGGTTACAAACTGGTCACCAAGGAAGGCCTAGACTAAAACCATTACACCTGATACTAAGGTTTTGGAGCTATTTCCACAATTTTTGTGTTTAGCCTTTTGTTTCTCAAAGACTGCCTCAGAGACTGCTTCATTTGAGGGGCTTCAAAACCAAAAAAGGGTTTCCCTCTCCACCCCCACACACACTGGGAAAGGGGAGAGAGAGGAGGGAGAGAAACAACAAAAAAAAGAGTCCTCCCCAATGGGAAAAAAATCACTCTTTCTCTTTGTCATAGTTCTGATTTTAGCAAGGAATTTTTCTTTCCTTCCCCCCCCCGCGTGTGTGTTCTGTTAATGGGCCATCAGGTAAAAATAAAGGAATTGGCCTGATCCCCTAAATGACCGAGACATTAATCTCCTAGCAACGAAGGGGGAGTAATTGAGGAAGGGTAGGGTGTGTGGGTGGGAGGAGGTGGGGTTTGGGGGGTTGGCGCTCTGCTCTGGGACCTGGAGGGGAGACTGCTGGAAGCTGGAGACACTGGCTGGTTCTTCTTAGGTTAGATGTTAGGAAGAAATTCTTTACAGAGAGGGTAATCAAGCATTGGAACAGC